TACATAGTTGGCATACAGAAAATATTTGGTGATTGAAGTATGGATGACCATTTCAGGAATTAGTCAAGTGTTAATAGGGAAAACACCCTTGGAGGGCCACAGAGATGTAGATTTAATGAAGAAACCAAGAGTCATCCTTCCCTGAATTGAATGGTCACCCTTCAGGGAAATTAGTGAGGTGTCAGTTAAGGTCTTTGGCCCATGTTTTTACTGGGTCGTTTGTTTTATTATTGTTGACTTCTAAAATTCTGCCTTGTTTGTCCTTTATCAGACATTTCTTTTGCAAATATTTTCTCCCTGTTTGTCCCTTCTCTTCTCAAACTTTTGACATTGGCTCCCACATAGCAGATACTTTTGATTTCAATGAAGTCCAACTTATTAATGATTTCATGGAGTGTGCCTTTGGTATTTTACCTAAAAAGTCATTGTCATACCCAAGGTCATCTATGTTTTTTCTTGTGTTCAGAAATTTTAACAGCTTAGTCTGTAAGTGATTTTTGAGTTAATTTTTCTGAAGGGTGTAAGGTTTGTATTTAGATTTTTTTTTTTGCGTGTTTATAATATATCCGATTGTCCCAGCACCATTCATTAAAGAGACTACCTTTATTTATTATTTTTTAAAGATATATTTATTTATTTATACAAGCACTGGGTACAGTCAGAAGCACGGGAGGGTGAGGGAATTCACCAGAGCCAGAGCGGGGAGCAGAGCAGGCAGAAGGACCGAAGTACACTGCTGAGGGGAGCAGCGGGCGGCAGGAGAAGTCTGCTCGCCATGTGGGACCCTTGCCCGGTGGCTGGGGATTGAACCGGTGCTGCAGAGGCTGCGAACAGCTTCGCAACCCAGCGCTCAACCACTGCGCCACCGGGGAGGTCCGAAGAGACTACCTTTAAACCATTGTTCGCCTTTCTCCTTTGTCAAAGATCAGTTGACTGTATTTATGTAGATTTATCCCTGAATTCTCTGTTGTGTTCCATTCTCCTATTTGTCTGCTCTTTTTCCAATACCACATTGTCTTGATTACTATAGCTTTATAATAAAGTCTTGAAGTCTGGTAGTGTCAATCTTCTGACTTTGTTCTTTTTCAATAATGTGTTGGCTATTATCAGTTTGTCAATGTCCTCAAAATAACTAACTGGAATTTTGATGGGGATTGCATTGAATCTATAGATCTAGTTGCAAAGAACTGATATATCATGGCCACATTGACATTTCCTATTCAGGAACATGGAATATCTCTTCATTTATGTAGTTCTTTTGGTTTATCAATTTTGTAGTTTTTTTCAAGTAGATTTTGTACATATATTGTTAGGTTTTATGCCTTAGTATTTCTCTTTTTCTGAGTGCCATTGTAAATGGTAATGCTTTTTTAAATTTCAGATTCCATTGGTTCATGGTTGGTTTTAGTATGTTAACTTTATATTTTGGAACCTTCCTATAATTACACCTAAAGTACATTAGGATGGTGGTAGTCTCAGACATGTTATCTTCACTTGCATCTTTCTCCCACATGTATGCTTTCCTCTGCCTCCCATGTCTCCAGGTACCATGTAATGTGAGTTTGAATCTTCAATTATGTTATATAAAATAAAGTGATGAAACTAAGAAAAATGTTGAATATTGGAAGTAAGCTTATAAGATATAGGTGAAATTTGTAGAATATGTTATGTATAGATATGAGTAAGCTAGTAATTTGAGGAACAGAAGAATTGAGAAGATGTACTAAATATATGTTGTAAATAAGCCGGTAACCTATAAAACATACCAAGATAAATAGAATATATGATAGACTAGACAAGTGTTTATTACATAGAAAGTTAGAACAGGGCCTCCCTGGTGGCACAGCGGGTTGAGCGCAGTGCTGTGAAGCTGTCTGCAGCCGCTGCAACGCCGGTTCGATTCCTGGCCGGCCAGGGAGAAGCCCACATGGTGGGACAGACCACTCCTATCTTGTCTGCTGCTCCCTTCAGCAGTGTGCTTTGGTCTGTCTGCCTGTTCTATACCCCGCTCTGTCTCTGTTGAATCCTTTCACCCTCCTGCACCTCTGGCCTGTATCCCAGTTCTTGTATAAAAATAAAATAAAATCTTAAAAAAAAGAAAGAAAGGGCCTCCCCGGTGGCGCAGCGGTTGAACGCTGGGTTGCGAAGCTGCCCGCGGCCTCCGCGGCGCCGGTTCGATCCCCGGCTGCTCCCCGGCCACCGGAGGAGGATCCCACATGGCGTGCAGACCTCTCCTGCCGCCCGCTGCTCCCCTCAGCAGTGTACTTCGGTCCTTCTGCCTGCTCTGCTCCCTACTCTGGCTCTGGTGAATTCTCTCACCCTCCCGCGTTTCTGACTGTACCCAGTGCTTGTATAAACAAACAAACAAATAAAAATAAATAAATAAAACATGCCTCTATAAAAAAAAAAAAAAAAGAAAGAAAGTTAGGACAACTAAGTCATGATCTTGCCACTTCTGGGTTGATAGCTATATATCCCTGAATTGGCCACTTACTGATGACATCCAGGATCCCACTATACTGTGACCAAGAAATGCAAATAAAAGCCAAATTTCTTGGCAGGCTACAGCTTTGGCCACATATACCTGCCTTTTTCTCTCACTAGGAAGTATGTGTTATTGATCCCTAGTACCTTCTGTCCGGACCACTGGGTCAAATAACTCTTGTCCTTTAACACAGCAGCATGTAGAAAACTGATATGGGCAGAGAGAACAGATTATGTGGATATATTTCAGGAGTCAAATAGTGTGATCCTGCCACAGACTTTCTATCCTAGACATGTTAACTTTATTGCTTGCTGATGTTCCCAGTGACTAGCATTATATCAACATAAATTCCCACATGACAGTACTCTTCGCTTTTAACTTCTGCAACCCTCCTTAATAATCTTGGATTTTGAACTAATGCATCTGATAATCACTATATAATTTAGGGAGCTAAATCAAACTTTGAAGGCAGTGTTAAATTATGGTAACTCACTCAGTGACTGATCCACACTAAAGGAATTATGAGCCCCTGTCTCTCATCTCTAGAATGGGCTCTTCCTAGGCAAACCCAGGAAAACTGAATCCCATTTTACCTGTAGAGATGAATAGAAGGGAATTTGTTTCATTACTGTCTCAGTTAAATTCTCTTCATACTTAAAGCTGAGGTCAGAGGTACCTCTTGTCTTGAAAGGCTACCTTAAGGTATTTTTTCCTCATATGCTCTCTAAAAGGATTTTGAAAAGTATATACTGTTTTTCACGTTTTAAGTTCACATTTAAATTTTCAATTTTAAGTTTAAATAGTTGGAAAAGATTATTTCTGGTATACAATATGTTTACATTTTAAAATAAAACAACGGGCTACCAAGTATAATTTTATGCTAATGAGTTAGATAATATAGAAGAAACGGACAATTTCTTAGAATCATCCACTCTTTTCAGGCTGAATCAGAAGAAATAGAAAATCTGAATAAAACTATCATACATAAGGGAATTAAAACAGTAATCAGAAACCTCCCCAGAAGCAAAAGCCAGCAACAGGCAGTTTCATTAGTGAGTTTTACCAAACCATCAAAGATTGCCTAATAACTTTCCTCCTCAAACTCTTCCAAAAAATTGAGGAAGAGGGAATCCTTCAAAACATATTTTATGGGGCCAGTTTTATTCTCATACCAAAACCAGACAAGGTCTATAAACACACACACACACACACCCTGCCCCACACACAACAAACTATATATCAGTATCCCTCATAAACAAATATTTAAAACTCAACAAAATCAACAATATATTAAAAAGATTATGCACCATGACCAAGTGGGAGTTATTCCAGGAATACAAGGATGGTTCAACATAAGCATATCAGTCAATGTAATTCACATCAACAAAAGGAAAGATGAAAATCATATAATCATGTCATTAGAGGCAGAGACCATTTGAGAAAAGTCAATACCCCTTTATGTAAAAATTCTCAATAAATAGATAGGCCAAATATGACAAACCCACAGCAAACATCAAACTCATTGGTGGAAAAAAAGGTAACTTTTCCTCTAAGATCAGGTATAAGAAAAGATGTCAACTCATACTGCGACTATTACACATAGTATTGGAAATCCTCACCAGAGCAACTAGACAAGAGAAAGATACAAAAGAAACCCAAATTTGAAAAGAGAAGACTTCACTAAAAAAACTATTAAAAGCAACAAATCAGTAAAGCGGTGGGTTATCAAATCAATGTCCAAAAAAATCTGTCACGTTTCTACATGCAAAAAATTAACTAGAAAAGGAATAAATAAAAAAAATCCCACTTAAAAATCACATCAAAGCAAAGTCCTTAGGAATAAACTTGACACAGATCAGGCATTATTAAAAGAAATAGAAGACATAAATAATATGAAAAGATATTCCATGTTCATGGATTAGAAGAATTAGTGTTATTAAAATGAACATCTTACTTTAAGTAAAACACAGACTTAATGGAATCCCTATCAAAAGGTCTATGGAATTTTTCATGGAAGTAGAATAAACTTTACTGAAATTTGTGTGAAACCACAAAAGACCCCAAAGAGCCAAAGTGATCCTGAGGGAAAAAAAAATGGCAGATATTACACACCCAGACTTCAACCTATATTATAAGGTGTGTTCCCAAAGAGGATGGAATGAAAGACAGAAAAACAAACCATTGGCATGTTCTTTTCAGCAACATATTCCTCATGTGCGTTTGTGTGTATGATAAATGATTTTCTAACAAACTGCAAGAATTAAAATACTTTACAACAAATTATAATTTTTTCTTTTTTAAGTAGGATTATACTAAAGAATTAGATTCATAATTTTGTCTTCATTTAGGCTCTCATCTCTGCTCATTTCTATTGAGATTTCACATTTAGTAACTGCCGCAAGGTCCAGAACATGTAGAAGTAAATTGTGATTAATGTCCAGCCTCAATTTATAACTGTAAATGTTGCCTATTACCAGGATTTTGCACTTTAAATATTATTCTTTTTCATTCTTAGTTGAAAAATGGCAAAAATAGAAACCGAAGATCACAGAGTATCACTTTCTCAATCTTCTTTATCACCCTTGATGAAAGCTACAGAGATATCACAGCAAAGCAACACTGAAGACACTTTAAATGGATGTATGATGGATCCAATTTACAAATATAATTCAAGTGACTTAATGAGGTAAGAATATTCTCTCAGTAGCTTAAACTGAATTCTGAAGAAAGTAAAAATGCTTCTAGATAGTTGTCCATGTAAATGTTCATTATTTAATGAAGATATCAATAATACTGTGGAGATATGCTGGGCTATGAAGGTTGTTTAGCCTGAGTCTTCAATTTTTTCTATTTCAAAGGAAGAAAAAAAGATGGATGATGCAATAAACATAAATTATCCCTTGGTTCTGGATAGGTAGCATAATGTTAATTGTAAATGTGGCAAGACAGATAATCTTTGCTATAACCCTCATTTTATCTGTTTATTTCTCAAAACAACACTGGGAGGAATGTAAGACAGATAATATTTTAATCATTTCCATTTTACCTATGAGGAAACAAATACCTAGAGAAGTTAATTAGCTTGACTAAGATCACACAGCTGGTAAGTAGAGAAAGCGTGGTTTGATCTCTAATGGATCTAACTCCATAGCCAGAACCCTAAAACAACTGTATTCCACAGTGCTTTTCAGAAGCATTAAAAAAGAGGAACATGTATTTTTCCTGTACCTTTTTTCTATTAGAAAGTGAAAGAGGGCCTCCCTGGTGGCCCAAGGAATTAAGCAACACACTATGACGCAATCCGCAGCCTCTGCAGCACAAGTTCATCCCTTGCCAGCCAGAGAGAAACCCACATGGCAAAGCAGACCTCTCCTGTCTCGCCCACGTCAGTCTGCCTTTTCTGTTCCCTACTCTGTCTCTGGTGAATCCTGTCACCCCCCCAAGTCTCTGGCCTGTATCCCAGCTCTTGTATGCATAAATAAATAAATCTTAAAAAAATAATAAACAAATAAAAAGTGAAAGAACTAAAAAGTATCTTTCAGGTTTTGATAAACTACTGATAAACTATTGGCTGGCTAAATGTGATGCCATAGTTTTTATAATAAAATATGGAGACTATAAAGGCATAAAAGGTAATATTCATAAATTTGGGATGAGGTTAATCTCCATATAAAAATGCCAGGCCATATCTGTTTCTGACATAGTTTGAGTGAGAGTGTGTGTGTGTGTGTGTGTGTTTGTGTGTGTGAGAGAGAGAGAGACTAAGTTTAAATGAAAGTGAAATGTAGACTTCCATCTAATCTCTGTTTTGCATTATTTCTCTGAACTCCGAATGTATATTAGCCATCTGTGAGATTATTTACACAGTGTACTTGCTATATGACTAGATATTTTCTTAGAAAATCGTTACATTTTAGTTATATTGCAGAGGCATGAGTTACTTATACAATTCTTCCCAATAAGACGGTGGGAAAGATTATCTAAATAAAATTTTAAGTATTCCTTTGTACAAGTGCCAATTACAATGTAATGTATATTTGCATGTTTTTATTACCTTTTAAATTTATTTTTACCAGTTTTCCTTTTGACGGTGATACTAAATTCATTTTTTATTTCACCTATTTTGTTCATTTTAGATACTTCATTTTTTTCCCATTAGAGTTAATTGTACTTTCATTTGATTGTTTCTTTCTGTTTTTGTTTTTTTTTCTCTAATTTTCTTACTTTGATTCTGAGTCTCTAAGTCTGGCTTCATTAGTCCTTTTAAAAATATGTCAGTCAGTCTTTTCATGTGACACTTTCCTGTAACCTTTTTAAAAATATATTTCAGTGTGCTTCTTTTATTTCTTTGTCTGACTCCTAACTTGTTTTCTGTGACAATTCCCTGTGCCATCTTCTTGATTATGATGTACCTAGAAAATGAAGTAAGCCTTTTCTTGGCAATTGACTGGCAAAACACAATGTCCATGAAAATGAAGTAAATGATGAATTTCAAGAAAATGAGTTTCAACATGAAAGGGATGAAGTTCATAAAGGCTAATGGTGATCTAATATTCACTGAAATTGGTATGAGTATCAGAAAGAGGCAATTTTCTGTAAGAGTAAAGACATTTTCCACCTAACTGAAGTTAAAACTTCTATACTTTCATTCTTGTTTTTCTTACCTTTCTCCCACCATTTTGGAATCTTTTTATATGAATTACTAAAATATTATCTATTTGTTGACCCTTATATCATGGAGACAGCTCTTTTCTAATCACAAAATATGCCCACGTATATTAAATCCATTCATTGCAACAATACTTATTACTTCATGTTCCTCTTATTATCTGAGGCTAATTTACTCTTTAATATATTTACATTATTCGCTGTTCTTTTTTCTTAAGTATATTTCTCTGCTATTCTCTATGCTACATTTGTTTGTAAAAGAGTGAAAACTGTTGTGCCAGAATCCTTCCCCCAACAGAAAAACTATCCACTAACAGTGTAATGATTTTAACATATTGTGCCAGGAAGTCTGATTCTTCTATTTTATAACTCCCCAACTGGAGGTCAGATGACTGGAAAAGAAGTAGTCACAAGAAGTGACTACTTGGGAAATAAGCACAAAAGAAATCTTTTCCTACCCAGCTGTAGTCTGATGAATTCCTAGGTGATCTGGAACAGGACACCAGCCTTTGCAAGATGACTGGCAGACGCTATTATTTATTGGTAATAGGTATCCTGGGAAATTCTGCCATGTTTATAATGGTACCTCTGAATGCTAAGTGAAAGATTGCTAAATTACAGTTACATTTTAAACTTAAGAAAATCTAATCAATCTCTCTTTTTATCCCACATATAATATGTATTGTTTTAATTTTTTTCTAACCGATGATCCTCTAAGATTATAATTTCATGATTTTTATAATAGAAACTTATAGTATATTTTAAAATCTTGTCAACAGCTGACTGTGTTACCACTCTTGTAGTTTAATCCTGAGGAGGCAAATTTGTTAAATGAGGATTTAAATCAGTTTTAAAAGTTAATTAACAGGGCCTCCCCTGGTGGCGCAGCGGTTGAGTGCTGGGCTGCGAAGCTGCCCGCAGCCTCTGCAGCGCCAGTTCGATCCCCAGCCCCTGGCGAGGGTACCACTTGGCGCGACAGATCTCTCCTGCCGCATCCGCTGCTCCCCTCAGCAGTGTATTTCTTTGTCAGTCTGCCTGTTCTGCTCTCCCCTCTGACTCTGGTGAATTCTCTCACCCTCCTGCGCTTCTGACTGTACCCAGTGCTTGTATAATAAATAAATAAATCTTTAAAAAAAGTTAATTAACAACAATTTTTTTCTTAAAGATTATCTGGATTTTGCTTTTTCTCGGACAAGTCTTGTTTTTAAGGAGACTAATGGCACCTTATCAAGTCATTTGCCTTTTTAATGATATTTTAGTTATCTTCAATCTCTTTAGTTGGAATGAAATACAAACATTTGGTTATATAACCTTTTCTAAGAACACTTTAAGTTTAGTAATTTCATTATTCTCAAGATGATCTCTGTTTCCTTGTACCATGGGACGGGCAATGGAAAAGAGTGAGGGGGAGACGGCAATACTGAAGGAAATGAGGGAATACCTTCACTGTTTTTGACTTCTGTTATCCAACAAATTATTTTCCTATCTCGTAATCTTTTAAGAGCTTTCCTTCAAGCTTTAAAAAAATCTCTACAGAGCTAAATTTTAAAAATATTTCCTTTTAATGGTTAAAAGACTAGACTACTGTTTCTTTTTGAAAATTTAAATTTCCTGGAAAAGATGTATGTGATATTTATAATCTCCCTCAATTTTAGATTTAAGATGTGCCTTATTTTTATTCCTTTGTACTTTTGCATAGCACAAGTATTCTTTTTCTTCCCTTTGGGTGGAATGATTTATGACTTCAGTCCTATCCTGAAATCTTAGAAATTGTTCTTCTTATTCAGAATATTCTTTATTTACAAAGGCAAACAAGTTCAATTTAACAAACATTGAATATCTCTTATAGTGTGTGTGTGTTTGTATTTTTGAATACATGGTTATTATATAGTCATTGAGTTGTAAGTAAAAATTTGACATTATCTGTTGTAAAATAACTTGAAATTGTTCTGCAATTGGAATACCCTTACCAAATTAGACATATTTTCTTATGGTGCTGGAAATAAAATTTTGGAGAATCATTCACTTTTTATTATCATCACCTTTATAATTCAGTTTTTATGATGTTTACATCACATTTCATTAGAAAATCTAGCAATTGTAGAAGGCTATTTATATCTTCATTGGTTATTCATTTCATCAACTTGGAGAAAAGGAATGATAAAGTTTAATGAATTCTTCATGCTTTGTGTACTCCAGAGATTTTATAAAGTTTATATTCATCAAACATATTTGGGATTATTTCTTTTATTGGTTGCATTTCAGTAAACTGGTAATTATTATTTAATGTATTTACGGTCACTTTCCTTTGTGTTTACATTTTCTTACATGAATTTATTCTAATTAGAGTTTAATTACCATTAAAGTGGTCATGGGATAAAGATAAGTTTCACAAATGAAAATATTTTAAAAAATCCTCAATTTTTTTTTAAGATTTATGTATTTAAGCATACAAGACCTGGGGTGTAGGCCAGTGGTGTGGGGGATGAGAGAAATCACCAGAGATAGAGAGGAGAGCAGAACAGGCAGATCTACTGAAATACACTGCTGAGGGGAGCAGTGGGCAAGACAGGAGAGGTCTGCCGTGTCATGTGGATTAGCTCCTGGCCAGGGATTGAACTTGTGCTGCAGTGGATGTGAATGGCTTCATAGTGCTGAGACTTAACCCCTTGTGCCACCAGGGAGGCCCAAATCCTCTATTCTTTATGAAGGTTTTAATTGCCGTAAGAATATAAAGATGAGACATGATGCTTGTCAACTATATAATATAAATAAATAATTGAGATGAAAATGGTTGACTTCATTTAGCAGAGACTACTAAATAATGAGGGATTAAAGAGTGGTTGTTATTTTTGATGTACTTCATTGTATATTATAAGTAATTGCTATCCATAAAAATTCTATGGCTTCCATGTAAGAAAAAGAGACAATTTGACAGGCAATACTGGTATGAAACAACAGCAAGTACAAATTCTTGGCAACTGTCATTATCCTGCTGTTGAATTCTCATCTAAACTG